ATATCTACAGAAATATATATATATATATATATATATATATATATATATATATATATAACACATTATGCTGCTACTGTGTGAAATGGTTCTACACAAATGATACATTTTTATGCTGGACTTGTTTCCTGTCCTATGGACTAACACTACATTGGCTGTTGTGTCTTTCTCTCTCTAGGCTGTGATAACGTGATTTGTGTGTGGAACGTGGGCACAGGGGAGCTTGTGTACCAGCTGACTGATGCCCACCCAGATCTGATCTACAGTGTCAGCTGGAACAAGGACGGCAGTGCCGTCTGCACCGTCTGCAAGGACAAGGCTCTGCGTGTCATCGACCCACGAAGGGGCACCGTCCTCAAGGTTATTTCACATTTTTGCCATGTGTGCAGATGGATACAAAAGCAGCCACTACATCATGCATTGACACATCCTGACAGTACAGTAATCACACAGTGCTCCTTTGCTGGGTCTTTGCTCTTAACTTTGTTATGTTGCTTCCACATTAGTCCTTCATCAGTCTCTAATTGTTCTCCTAGGTGAAAGAGAAGGTCCATGATGGCACCAGGCCAATGAGAGCTGTGTTCCTCTCAGATGGGAAGATCCTGACCACAGGCTTCAGCCGTATGAGTGAGAGACAGCTGGCATTGTGGGATACGGTAAGTCCCACTTGCCTCTTGTGTACTGGTGCTCATATAAACATTGAAAATATTTAAAGATCCCTTCTTAATGCTCTTAAGGAACACAGTACTTGTTCCAATCAATATATATTCCAAGGTTTCTCTGAAGCTTCAGCAGTCAGTCAATAAAATGGAGATCTTCCAAAGTTTTCCTTCCCCTCCACTTCAGCTCAACACAGAAACGCCATCCGGGGAAACACAAAGACACTCTTTGTACTAAATAGACTATAACTTTGGAAGACATCCACTTGATTTAACTGCCTGCTGAAGCTTCATGTTAACTTAGATACATTAAGCTATGTCACTGGGGTTTTGCAGAATTGTCCATTATCAGCGTTTTGTGTGGCGGGTTGAATCTACATAGCTTATGCAAGCAATTATGAGTAATTAATGTTTTTCGCTGTTCTTTTTGTTTTTTTACAGAAAGATCTCTCTGAGCCAATGGCAGTACAGGAGATGGATACGAGTAACGGGGTTCTTTTACCCTTTTATGACCCTGACACAAACATGGTCTACTTGTGTGGAAAGGTATGAACTCAGGATTGTATAGTGAATACAGATTTACCCAACTGGTAAAATAAGTGTCATTTCCTATAAAATTTGGTTCAGTTAGATTATCATCTGTCTTTCAGGGGGACTGCACCATCCGGTATTTTGAGGTGACAGACGAATCTCCGTATGTCCACTTCCTCAGCTTATACAGCACCAAGGAGCCTCAGAGAGGTGCAGGCTTTCTCAGTAAAAGAGGTGTGGATGTCAACAAGTGTGAAATTGCCAGGTAAATATGTTTGGTCATGTTTTCCTTGATATATCTTGATATATTTTTCTTCTTGTCACCAATGTCCATGGACGAAATACAACAATAAATTGACACAAAAGCCTCATTGCTAACCAAAGAGCTCCATTGTTCAAAAAAATATAGAAAACTATATAATAACTAAATAAGCCACACCATTGCACTGGGTGACACTGTTGCCGTTAATATTTATTATTGCACCAAAATAGTATTAATCCGCAGCCGAAAATAATTCCCAGCAAATACACTGTTTACTCCTGTTTGAGTAACATTTGCTAAAAACTACAGTGCCCACCTTTTTTAGGAAGTTACTGAACCTTTATTTTAAATGAAACTATATGTAGGAATGATTTGGCTTCAGTATGAGTGCCCCAGTAAGCATCAATAAGTAATAAAGAATTTAGAGACAGGTTTCTTTCTGGGGTTCGTTGACATTAAGAAAAATGTAGAATACGCCAGCCTTATCTTTGAATGAATTACAAATTTCCTGGTCTTCTGTAGGTTCTACAAACTCCATGAAAGGAAAGTGGAACCCATTTCTATGACTGTACCACGAAAGGTAAGTCAATTTAAAAATAACCAATTTATATTGCTAATTCTTTAACAATGGGGTGGATAGCCTTCTGCATGCCCAGGAAGTCTATCCATAACTGTATAATTCGAACACTTTTCTGTCTCCATCTTGCCTACCCAGTCAGATCTGTTCCAGGGAGACCTTTACCCGGACACAGCTGGCTTGGAGCCAGCTCTCCTGGCTGATGAATGGATTGCTGGGCAGGACGCTTCGCCCCTGTTGGTCTCTCTGAGTGGTGGGTACACAGCTCATCCATCCAAGCACAGAGACACCCTCAGAAGCAAACCCCAGCTCGTCTCGCAGGACTCTGGGACTGGGGCCGCCCCACCTTCAGCAGGCAGTGTAGCAGCTCCCACATCTACATCTACCTCTGCTGCCAAGGAGACCGAGGAAGAGATGCCACGAGTAGCCACGAGGGATACAGATGGAAATACTGAGAGGCCGAAAAGAGAGGTGAGTTGACAGAATGAGACATATTGACCATACAAAAAAAATTTATGCTCAAGGTCATTTCTGACTTGTTCCATTTCTCCTCCTTTCAGGACGATCTGTTGAACGAGTTGTTAGCAGAAATAAAGGCCTTGCGTGCTGCCGTCCTTGCCCATAGCCAGAGAATCGAGTTGTTGGAGAGGCAGCTGGCTCGGATTGAGGATGGGGATGTATGAGCAAAAACGGGGAACCACTACATTCGGAGGGCATTCTTACTAAATCCATAGACCATAGCCTTACTAGAAACAACAGTACCTTAAGCTGTGTGAGTGAGAGAATGTAGTGAAGGGTAGCGACGAACTGTGAGCCACAGTGGCTTACAACCTGGTCAACTATTGTGTTGAAAGCGAGACCATAATTTGTTTCTGTGAATGTTTTCCAGACTATGGCTGAGAACGGGGTGTCATCTGCATAGAGTGATTTCTGACAGTGAGATAATGTTTCGTTTTTCATATGATGGAGTATTGTAGCAGCTATTTGATGGTGCATATAGTGCAGCTTTGAGCTTTGCAAAATCCTTGTTAATTTTGAAGGGCTTTGAAGGAGTTGCAATGGCACCATTGCCTCAAATTAATGCACAAAGTAATGATAAAAAGCATTATATTAAAGCTAATGAAGGACGACATACTATCGCAAAGCAATTAAGCACCTCCGATATGATTTTCTTTTTCTATGAAGCACTCACAAAGTAACCATTAGGGCTATTTAATCAGGTAGTTAAAGCTGCTAAACTGTGATGTCATATCAAAACCCCAATTGTTAACCCATTGTGTGACATGTGCTTTGTTTTACTACTTCATTATAGGACACCGTGTGTATGGTTAACGGTAGCAAAATATTCTGGTACACAAATCCTGTACTTGACAGTGAGAATTGTGTGAATACTAGCTGATGAGAGTGTAGTTGAATATTTATGTGTATTGTAATTCTGTGTAGTCTTTGCAGTTAATGAAAAGGTAACACTTGTGATTTTGTACCTGATGGTTTCAGGAGCGGACAAGCAGCTTTGTGATGTTTTCTGCAACACCACGAGGTTGAGATGATTTGTTCTCATTATCATTAAGATATTAATACACCGAAATTCTTGCTTCTTTCGTTCATTTGGTATGTGTGGAAAGGCTGCGTTATCTTCTGCCCCTTAAAAAAAACAGGACCTCGGTTGGTTATTTTGCAGAGCAGCAAACCTTATACTTTTTAGCCGTCACTTCTCCTAAGTATCTTGTCCGAGCTGTAAGATAAAATTGAGTGTTGCCTACAAATGTAACTTAACACTAGTGAATACAGTCTCAGTAAAACGCTAGAAAGAAGTGTTTGTAACCTCAAAAAAAGAGGAAGTTACAATAAAATGTGAAATGTTTTCTACAGTTTGTATTGGTGTTAAAAGGTGGAGAAAAAAATCTTCTTTTGATGTTTTAATTTTAGTTTTGTGTTTTTTGCCCTTACACTTAGAGGTATTTATCTGTTACCTCTGCATCAGTCAATGATTGTGTAACAATGGTACATTCCACATTAAGCTTATTCCTTTATTACTTAGGTCATTTATATTTCTTTATGCACTTACCTCTTAACACTAACTGTAAAACCAGTAGCAGGTTCAATGAGACTACATTGTGAAAAGACCAATAAACATTAATTCTTCCTTTGTATTAATGGAATGGTGTTTTTATTTACACTAAGAAATGTGATCATGATAATGTATTTGTGTTCTTTGTGATCATTTTAAGCTCAAGTAATGTTTTAATACATATTGAGTGTGTTGACTGTGTGTCAATCAACTGCTGCCTACTCCAATTAAATAGACATATGCATACACACAAAACACATTGATCTGTAAAGGATGCAACACCCAGAAGACTTCTCACATTTTATATTGGCTGAATTTCTCATACTTATCTATATATATATAGATACTTTATATTCTCGATATGTCTCATAAACTTAATCGGGGTCCACAAGTAGCCAATTAAATTGACTGGGGAAAAATGACAATTTAATCCCACTGATGACATTCCATGCCATGTCAGAAACCACAATGAAGTGAAGCTGTCTGTAGATTTCAGAAAGAAGCCAAATACATAAAACAGTTTCTAAAGTTATGGAGTTTCACATTAGCATAGCGGTGTTCATTATTAATTGAAACCTCTTGAGAACTCTCGTTTTTAGGAAGTCAGTCAATACAAACTGAGAAACCAACCTAAAAGGGCATTAAATGACAGCAACACAGCTAAATCTGGCCTGTGTGAAAGACTAGCAGCAGGGCACTACTTCAGTTAAGAAATGGCACAGCAGCACAGGAATCAAAGCAGGTGAGCCACTATCATGCATTAAAGTGGCTGATGGTGGTTTCATGAATGGTGGTGCTGTAAGTTCTATATTGTAGTTTTGGTGGTAGAAGTACGAGCCTGTATTATCATCCTCAAGCAGCAGGGATTAGGATGCAACAGGACGATTACTCTCTCCATCCATCAACCCTGAAACATCCTTACAGAAATCCCAGACCTCAGTACAGCCAAAAACCTGAAGATAGTTCCAGCTGCAGTCCATCCACACTGACCAAGCTGAAGCAAAAGTACTCAATTGACGGAATAAACTTAAATAAACATTTTGTGGACCTATGCATTAGAATAAGATCATTTTTTTATGACACAGAAACCTAAAGCAGCAAAAAGGAACTTAAATCTTTTCCCCCTGTTGACGAAAGCAGTAGTGTTTCCACTGCCTCATTTCATTGATTTCAAGAGGAAATCCGAACCAGCTGAACAACTTTATAGAAATGGTTTTTGCTGACAGTTTTGTGTGCTTATATAGGTCATGTAGAGGCATCAGAATTAAATTGAGATGGTTTCACAACCAGTTAAAAACTCCTCGTAGTAGGTTTAAACAAACCATTAATTTTTTAAGTCAAAAGACACAAAACAAGTACAAGGATTAAGGTGAGGAGAAAATAAAAGGAAATACAGCTTTACCCTCTTTAAGGAAAGAAGCAAATACAATATTTTAAGAGTGAGTATAGATTTACAAAAAATCAAAATGATTTTTGGCATGTTAATATTGCAAAATATCTATTTTTTTGTCCTCACCTGTGTGATACAATCAGTAAAATTACGTTACTCAGATTTGGTGCGACTGGGGCTGTGACTGCTCAGCCATTCTGAAAACAGGATGTGACTGTCTTGTTTCACATTCAAACTGGGTGCAGCTTTTGATAGGTTCAAGTTTAAGTGAGTTTTGATGGTAACATTTTTTCCAACCCCCGGCATCATGTTTACCTCAGGTGCCCTTTGTAGTGTTTATCGTCAACCTGCTGACAAATATGATTGTACAGTGTTAAAATGTATCACAGGAGAAAATATACTGTATTATGGATATTTCCACTAGGTGAATTCTGGTCAGTAAAGACTACGTATGTTCTTAAAATATACTTAATACATGTTGTATAATGTAATCTGCACCTGTGCTGCAAGCTCAAAGTGATGCAAGTCAACTTTGCAGGGAAAATATTCAAATGTGTATGTCTTCCTCTTTCCATAAATACATTTCACATATTCTTATCTGTGCTTTACACCACACCCTGCTTGTGTCTTTAATCTGTGTTCTCACCCCCTTCAGCCTCCACCTACCACTTTTCTTCACCACATTTCATGCATCAGCCCCTCTCTCGTTTTCATATGCTGTCACACTGCAGTACCCTAAATGTCACACAAGTCAGTCTCTTACCAGAGTTTGTGTTTGTGCACCGTCTGGTAGCACAAAAACTTTATCTTCAGACATATCTTGTGCTCACAACCTAGGTAAGTGTTTATTTGTTTCCCTTTTTTGTACTTTGAATAGCTTCTTAGCTTGTTTTTGCTACACACATATTATCACATATAATTTATTAATTAAATACGATGTAAATGCCTTATGTTTTGTCTGCTTTTTTTGTATTTAATTACAGCTTTATTTATACATATGATGTTAATATCTGAGTTTCGATACTTGAATATTTTACTTAATGGACTTAGTAGTTTTTGTATAGTTGTATAATTACAATATTGCAGGCTTTAATTTGTTGATTATCCTCATTCATTTCAGGTTAAGTGCACTTATTTTCATGTAATTTTATTTTTTTATTAAACATTATATTCATCACTTAATGTCAGATCTCAGTATGATCAACTACGACTAAAGCAGTTTCCCTCCACGGCAGGCTGTCTGATGCTGCTCAATTATCATTTTGACAGGAAACCAGCAACACTGCGAGCGGTCTGCTAGCTTCCTGTCACTCCACTGCAAGCAGTTTACAGTCAAACAAGATAAAGGCAATACAGACTTCCTGTTCTCCAGTGTACGTATGTATAATACTATTATGAGCCAGTGGTTAATGACCATTCAGTAACTTTTTTATTATAATTGTGTCAGGATAAGATGGCATAAAAAAGTGCAGAAAAAAAATATAATAACACACTCGAGAGGGTTTTTAAAGGAGAATTATTGGCATTTATTGGCAATCTGCTTAATTTTGAGTGAGTTAAACCTGAAATGCCACTTCAGAATTTAATTGAATGTATAAACTTTTATTTTGCTCATCTTTTGTCCAGATGGTATAGACCATTTAAATAAATGCTGAGCCATCTAAAGCTTTAACTTTTTTTTTTTAGATCCTGAATTTAAATTCACCAATGGATCTCCCTCTGATGACGACTGCACAACTGCTTTGAAAGTACAAGGAGTTTGGCTACAAAGTCCTGCCTGTAACTGTGACACCAAACCAGCGGGACTTTTCTACTACAGGGAATTTTCTAAAGAGGTAAAGTACATTTTTAATCTGTCTCAGTATTATGGGATTTACAGCTTCATAATGAGAGGATTTCTGGTGCTCTTGGAAAGGAAAAACAGTGGATTGAGTCTTTAGCCTTATAAAAAGTTGCGCACAAGTGGGTCAAAGTGTAGCTTCTCTCACCTTCTTCCCTATATGTCCAAGAATAACCACAAAGTCACAAACTATGCAGAGTTTAGCAGAAAAGGACGGAAATTAAATGCAGCTACAGCAAAGACCTGCAAACTACTTGTAGCTGTGTGAAGCCATTGTAATGTGAATATCGCGGACTATTGCATAAGACCATAAGAACTGTGAGACTCTAGCTTCCTGTTATTCTTACTGTATTCATTTAGCTCGGGAGTTGGGAAAGTTGCATTCAAATAAATTGTACTTAAGTCCTTCACATGCTAAAGGCCTGACCTGTAACCTGAATAGTATATCGCATGCTACGGAATCAACCAGAGGACAAAGCTTAGATATGAGCTAAGGGTCAGAAGTTAAATAGATATTACATCAACATTTTAGACTACATGTCCCAAATTGTCCCACACAAACAAAGTCTTTGTCCCACATTTGGTTTGTTGGGATCCGGGCACCCAAAGAACGGGTTACAATAAATAATAAAAAAAGCAATTTACTGCTCTATTAAATAAATTGTTTGACCTTTTGGGAAATACGTTTATTTGCTGTCCCGCTGGCAGTTAGATCACAGGATTGGTACCACTTTCAAGTTTGGTACATTTGAGTACCGCAATCTGCAGTCAGCAGCCAGCCAGCTTAGCTTAGCATAAAGACAGGAAACAGGGGGGAAACTGGCTCTGTGCAAAGGTAATAAAATCCATCTACATATTTATCATACAGATGTGGCATTAGCGGCAAGAAAGTGAATGTGAAAAAAGAAGAATAAAAAGACAGTGCCACTACATCCAAAAACATTCCTAAATAATAATAATAATAATAATACATTTTATTTAAAGGTGCTTTTCTGAATACATTGTACAATAACAATATATTCTATATATATATGTAAGTTATATACAATTCAACATTCTATACTCCTTATACCTTACACTACCAAATTTCATTACACACAGCCAGGTGAGGCGAGGAAATACATACGTTAAACGAACACATTTTAATTTTTTTTCTGCTGTTTAAACAGCCATTTTGAGAGGGTGAGAAAAAACGGAGTTTGTTGTTTAAGATCCTGTCCTTTTAAGCCACCCCAGTGATTTGAAATGTTGGAGGGTCGGTACAGTCACAGTTCAGTGCTAGAAATGAATGAATCCCAATGTGTGACCATGCTAACTCTACTCTTCTCTCGCTTCACCTCAGGCATGGCTGACCAAATGTCACAATCCAAAACGACAGTGCTGGTCCTTGTCTTCTTCCTATTAGGCTTACTTGCATTGCTGTTTTTCTTGTACAAGAAGTTGAACAAGGAGGCCAATGGAGAATATACCATCGAGCACATAGTGTATAAGGAAGGAGGGGTCAGGGACCAGGTGAGAGGTACAGTTTTAGCTCTGGAGACGCGCCTTGGAGTCCAACTGTGGCCTCAAAGTGATACTGATGAGGATGGAGGGGAAATGCAGGAGGTACAAGATGAGGAGCGACAGGTGGAGATGGGTAGCAGCCAGGGGAGTGACAACGAGAGAGATGAGGATGAGGATGAGGAGGATGAGGAGGAGGAGGAGCAGTGTGGTAAGACTAGTAGAAAAGGAAGTATCACTTCGGATGATAACTCATGTTTGGGGGATTCAGAGGGAGAGGAGCATGTCAGGTTAATGGATGAACCAGAGGATAAGGCAGAGACGGGGGAGAGAGGGGAGGAGAAATCCAGAGATGGGGATAGTAAAGGTGAAGCAAGCGGAGGACCTGGATTGTTGATAGATCTAAAGCAGTTCTCCGGAAGTGCCATCTGGTCTGAGGAGAGGGGAGGCAACAGCGATGTGACTGCACTGTGAGAACAAAATGATTTGAAAAAACATGAAAAAAGGCTTAGGAAATAGTCTTAAGCAGGGCTGTAACCAGGATTTTCAATACACTGACGTCATGAGTCCCTTCCAATTAGCTGTTCAAATATTTTCTGTATTTTTTATTTCCCAACATGAACGCTGTTCCACACTGCCAGGAAAAAAAAAAAACTAAAAGCAGTATAAAACTACTGCAACCAGCCTATAAAACACCCACTGTGTGTACTTTTGTAATTGCAGAATGTAAACTCCCAGACATATGACCCCATTGTCCTCAGTGGTAACTCTGACTCTGGTCTTAATTCTACTTCCTGTTGAGCCATCAGGATAAGAAGGTGATTGGTGAATGAAGTTGTTATAAATATTAAGGAACACTGGTTTAGATTTTGAATGTTTGTGTATGAGTTTACCTTTTATAATGTAAAACTGGCTTGGCTAGTGAAGAAATCCAACTGCATCAGCCTGTTGCACGCTGTATATTGTGGACTGTGGCATATGTTTTTTTTTTTATTGCTTTAAATGGTTTTTTTTTTCTCATTTATATTAAAAATTAAAAAGCAAAAACAGATATTACTGAGTTTATCATGATTTTTTCAGCAAACTTTTCTACATATTATAGACTAATCGAGTATTCAATTGGCAGAATGAACAATGAAACAATGAAAATGATCTCTGGTCGTATTATTGCAGGTGGGAGTCAAACTTTCCATCAAGTGACATTTCATACAATGTGTGTGTATTGAATGTGTGGTACAAATGAGTGGTTGCCTATATGAAAAGATCGATGTTTTGTTGAATGTATAGAAAACTATAACATGCTATGTATCTTTGCTGTTTAAGGATATAATGATACGATGAAACAAAACTACAGCAAGGTCACTATAAACTCGAAACCTGTAATAAACGTGTAAATATTTGACTGAGGTTACTTCCCTGTTTAATGAATGTATTCAGATGCAGTTCATGAACAGTTTTGTTGTCATTGTGAGATGTTGTACAATGTAACAGAGTATAAATAAACATTACCCGTTTACATGAATACTGCCTCTTTTTTGTCGTAATACACAGTGCAGCAAAATACTGTTAATAGCATCAAATACACACTAAAACTATATCATAGAATATCATACAGTCAGTGGGTATAAAACCCATAGTGGTACTCTCATCAACCAATGGGGATGTAGCTCAGTGGTAGAGCGCATGCTTCGCATGTATGAGGTCCCGGGTTCAATCCCCGGCATCTCCATAACTTTTAGACTTGTTTCTCTCCCATTTAAATAAAAACCTAAAATATAGAAAAACACTTATAGTCTAAAAAATCTACTATTAACATAAAATCAATACGAAACAATAAAACTCACGATTTATATTAACGATGCAATGAGCGATCCAGATGAGAGGCGTTCGTGATTGGACAGACTCGGCGCTTGCTCTAATCTGATTGGATGTCGGAGGCCTTCGAGGCGTGGGAGTGTTCACGCACGCGAATGTCAAACATTTATTTTTCGCCGGCCAAATCATTTTCAGTGGGTGAGAGCCACTCGATCGAGGCGTTATGCACGAACCGGTACGTACGCTTGAGTCAAAGTAGACTGAAACAGAACTCAAGTGATTTTTTCATCAAATAAATTATGTAACCAGAAATCCGGGATGTCACCTGAAGACTGAAGACAGTGTCACAGTGACAGGATGGAGCATTACTAAAGCACTCAAACTGGGATTTGACTGGAGACACTGGAGCCGATCTAACCAGGTAAATATTGTTATTGTTATTTGCTTTCAGGAATCTGGTCCTCCCTTTTACAGGCAGCACAGTTTTTTTGTTTCTTTTTTTTTTTTTTTTTTTTTTTTTTTTTTAAATGTAACCCTGCACTGCACGATCAAAGCCAGTCTGTCACAGTAACCTACTTCACGAGTGCCGCACCACCGTGAGCATCCAAGTTGCATTTTCTCCTCTCACCCTAACTTGATTGTGCCGGAGAAATGATTTCAGTAGACGTCACTCATCTGCATAGGGAGTAAAATGCAACCATCCTGCAAGGCTTTCTGCGCCCTCAAACGCTCTGTATCCTCGCCGTATGATAAAAAGGACCTACTAATTGCTGCATAACCGAGACTACAAACATGGAAGGTACAGTTTGCATGTAGTGTCATCCCCAAAATAGATATTTATATCCACAGATAGGAGACACATCTGGGTTGCAAACTGTCCAAGATGGATGCAGCGCTGCTGTGCGCAGGGATGCACGGCGGAGCGGCAGCGGGGTATCTTTAAATGCCCATCACCCCCGCGCTTTCGCTTTCACGTATGCCTCCGTATTGTCAGCTTTATCCTTTTTCCACCTTTGCAGGAGTAGGATGTTACTAGCATCCGCCGTAGTGGTATGGGAATGGCTGAACGAGCACGGACGCTGGCGGCCCTACAGCCCGGCTGTCTGTCATCACATCGAGGCAGTCATCCGGAGCGACCCGCGGTGTGGTAGTGTTGTCCTCGGCCAGGTGGACTCTCGCCTCTCGCCCTACATCATCGATTTGCATTCCATGCACCAGTTCCGACAAGACACAGGTGAGCAGGAGCAGAGAGGAGAGAGGAGAGGGGAGAGACACCAGGCGGAGGAGGGTGTAACGGTGCAGCCAGGGCCCTGAGGTGGAGGCCTTTTTTTTTATGTGTCTACTTTATCTTTGCAAGCCTTTATGTTGATTCTGCTCCAAGAAGTTGGTGCCTTGGTGGGAGTGTTTTGTTTTTTTTCTGCAGCAGTGACATGAATGCCACTGGGGTTCTTTTATTTTTTAATTTTAGATGCCCTCAATCTAGTCTCCCATAGTTTCTCTGCATACGGTTTCATTTTTATCTGGAGGGATTAAAGGACGGGGAGAGTTGCTGTGTGTCTGTGATTTTTAAAAGGTGTCAGTGAGTCATTCTGGCAGGACCTGTGTGTGTTTGCCTATGGCACCTAGGCCACAGTAGCAGCTGAAGTGTCCAGTCATAGCCACAGACACAGAAATCCTTTCACAGCAAACACTATCATCAATACTGCTGTCTCCTTCATAGCCGAATATTCACGTAAGAAGTCATCTTCCACACGTCAAAGCCTCATAAAAAAAAGGAGATGCAAGCCGAGCAGTGTAAGACAAAGCAAGGAATCGGTTGTCCGATGTCTAACTTTGGCAGAGACCCCAACGTTTCCCTTCTCTCTCAACATTGGCTGACAAAAGCCTTTGTGCAGTTTGTTTTCCAAACCCAGCAGAAGCTGAAATAGGGTGTGTGTGTCGGGGGGGGGCTCCAGTCTAAATAGGAGACGGGGAGGAGGAGGTTAGGGGGATAAGGGTGGGGAGGAATTTCAGGAGTCTGAGGTCATTGATAAAATGGGGTCGATGGGGGCAGGTTTTATGAATGAACTCCTCTGTCTGTTGTTAAATGTCTAGGCATACTGTGCCACACATACTGTGAAGCAATTATTTTTTGTTCTTTTTCTCAGAGGCCTTTGAATATGTTTTGCTGTATGCTTGATTCCATGTTGTATTTCAAATGCTTAATTGGCCTGTGTATAAGTTTAACCTGAGGCTAAACTGTAAAACATACGTCTAAAGTGATTTTTACAGTTCCAACAAAACTGCCTCATGATCCCCAAAAAGATTTATCTCTCACTTTGAGACCAAGCTAACTCATATTTGAGAAATCCTTGCACCTCTTTGTGTTTCAGACAGCGTTATTTGATATGTGAAGGCTTTACAGTATGAAGACTCTGTAGAGTTTCTCTGGACACCCTGGGAAAGCAAACACAGCCAGCTTTGGGTCGGATCAAGGCTGCCAGCCAATCAGAATTCAGAACACCATGTGCTGTTACCAGGGGCAACCTGTTTGCCCAAATTCTTAGCAAGCAAACACAGACATGTTGAATTTGTTAGGGTTGCAATCTACTTGTCCACAGCAAATAGTACCACAGTCAGTCATCAACCTCCTATTGCAACTACCTCTCATCACCAAGCATCATCGTGATAGTAGCTCAAGAGGAGAAAGAAAGATGTTCAAACTTTACAGTTACAGTAGAAGTCTTGCACGTGTCTAGAAATCTCCTGTGACAAGCGCTAAATCTGTCCAAATTGAAAGTCCAAATGCATGCTATGACTGAATTACTATAGTTGTTTCACCTTGTTAAAATCTTAACAATGTGCATGAATCTTTTGCATTGTTATGACCCCCTAATTCCTGCCTCAGGTACCCTTCGACCGGTACGACGTAGCTTCTACGACCCCACCTCAGCGCCGGGCCAGGGCTGGTTGTGGGAGTGGGAGAACGACGCTGGCAGTTGGACGGCGTACGACACGGAGGTGGGCATCGCCATCCAGGCGGCACGTGATCGTCAGCAGCCCTGGCTGGACCTGGCGCCGCTGGGTTTCTGCTACCTCATTGACTTCGAAAGCATGACCCAAATCAACGGGCAGACGCAGCGCTGCAGGCGCATCCAGCGTCGCTCCGACCTGGCTTACCCGCTGGTGTCCGGGCCCCTGCCCAAATCCCACCATGCCTGGGGGCCCATGTCCATGCCCAGCCATGGAGGACTGCTTGGTGTGGATGTATCCGGAGTGGGCATGGGGGTCAGGATGAGCAACAGTGGGACTGGAAATGGGAGCGCGTATCCCAGCGGGGCACTCCCTGCCTCAGCCATCACCTCCTTGGGACAGCCCTGCGCCTGTCAGCAGTGTATGTTGGTGCTGAGTGTCAAAGCGGGCGCCATGTCGACTGCTCACACTCTGGGTCGGAGACCGCCACAGACCAAGCCACCTAGTCCCAAAATCAGCAGTCACCCTGTCCCAGGAGGGTCGTACTCACTAACCCTCCCTCGGCCTCCTTCCCTGTCCCGGTCATTCTCCCCCCACAGGACATCCATAGTTGGGGCGACAGGTGGCTTCAGTGTAGGTGGTATGGGTGGTATGGGTGGTCCAGGAGGTGTAGGCATCGTCGGCGGTGGTGGTGTTGGCAGTGCCAACCTTGGTTTTGGAGGAGGTTTCACCCACTCCCTTTCCCTCCTTGGCTCAGCTACGGCCGCCCTATCCATCTCCTCCACCCGTCCACACCACTCCCTCCACCGCCTCCTCCTCCACCGTCCACCACACTGTCATCTGCCGCCATCTCTCCCCCTCACCCCTCCACCTCGTCCTCCCTGTCTGCTTCCTGTTCCGTTCCAGGCCCTCCCCTCATCTCCACAGCTGCCTCCACCTGCACACCCTCGCCTTCTGCCCGAGTCCTGGGTCCAGTGTCTTCATCTGGGGCTTCTGCCTGCGCAGCCCCTCTGCCACCCCGGTCCAGTCTAGCAGGGCTGAGCCGACCTGCACTGCAGCGTATCGCCATGGCTCAGTCACGTGCCCTTATCGCCTCTGGGTGAGTAGACCCCACTGTAGTAATATATCAGTTCAGATATTCTGGTACAGTCTTAAAGGTTTTATCATCCAAGAACAGATAAGGAAACCTTGGAGTTACACAGGCTCATCAAAAAATGGCGGTTGCCGCTGGCTGTTCGACCAATCACCGTATACTTACATCACCCAAGGTGTACGTGATGTAAGTTTTAGCTGAAGTAGGAGCTAAAAAAGTCCCTGTAATGTAAGAACATTTATAAAACATATATATTAACAGAAGAAAACATGCAGACATTGTATCATAAAAAGTATAGTAGTGGGATGATACCAAATTAAATTCAAATGATGGCCATAATATGTATATAATAATAATAATAATAAGTTTTAAAGCCAGCTGGTTAAGTACATTTAAATGGTCACTTATTGTTAAATGTTTGATGTGACATTCAAATAACATCTCCACAGAGACTACATACCTTATCCATAAACTTTATATGAACCAGAATGAGATAGTATATGTAAGAAAATCAATTTAGAGAGGAATTTCTCATTAGTTTGAAGCCCTCATTACACAATGTCTAACATCGGCGCTCATTAGCATTCATGAGCCTTTAATCTTTGTGACAAAGTCCATCAGGGTCATTCATTTCCATGGAGAAACAATGAAGAGTATTCACA